TCTCAAGCCATCCACTGTCACCTACATTCAGGGGGCCTAGTTAGGTCCTATGTAGGTTCCCCAGCTGTCAGTCTGGAGTCAGCGAGCTCCTACTAGCTTGGGTCAGCTATTTTGCGAAATAATTAATTTGGAGAATATTGGTGTTAACTCTTCTTTGAAAGTCTGGTAGAAATCCACATTAAAACCATCTGGCCCTGAGATTTTGGTTGTTGTTGTTGTTGGAAGACTTAATGACTACTTCTATTTCCTTAGGGTTTATAAATCTATTTAAGTTGTTTATATGATCATGATTTAACTTTGGTAAGTGGTATCTATTGAGGAAATTATTCATTTCTTTTAGATTTTCCAATATTCTGGAGTATAGTCTTTTAAAGTATGGCCTAATGATTATTTGGATTTCCTCATTCTTATGTTCCCCTTTTGTTTCTGATTTTGTAAATCTGGGTATTCTCTCCCTGTGTTTTAATTAGTTTGAATAAGGGTCTGTCTATCTTGTTTATTTTCTCAAACAACCAACTCTTTGATTCTTTATATTGTTGTTTATTTTGTTGCTTTCAAACCTCAGTTTGATTATTTCCTGTCATCTACTCCACTTTAGTGTTTGCATCCTTTTGTTCTAGAGCTTTCAGGCACACTGTTAACTTGCTAGTATGAGATCTCTCCAAATTTTTATATAGGCACTTAGTGCTATGAAATTTCCTATTAGCACCACTTCCATTGTGTCCCGTAAGTTTGGGTATGGTGTGTATTCATTTTCATTGATTTCTAGGAAGTCTTTAATTACTTTATTTCTGCTTTGACCCAGTGGTAATTTAGTAGAGAATCGTTCTGTTTCCATGAGTTTGTACATTTTCTGTTGTTTCTGTTGTTCAAATCCAGTTTCAGAGCTCACAGACTCCAGTCTGACACTGGGAAACCAGTATAGGACTGAACCAGGGTGTCAGTTGGGGAACCTGAGCAGTCTATGGAGCCTCTTGCAGTGGAACCAGTATTTATCCCTAGTATACAAATAGACTTTGGGAGCCCATTCCCCATAGACACATGGAGGAGGGCCTAGGTCCTGGCCCAAACAATGTGTTATACTTTGATGATCCGCCATGGGAGGCCTCACCCTCCCTGAAGAGTGGATATGGGTGGTATGAGGGTAGGTGGGGGTAATGGGAGGAGGGGAGGAGAAATAATTGCCAGGTGGTGGTGGTACCTCTCTGTCCTAACCCTGGAACATGTCAATTGTCTAGTAAAATCCTTCTCTTAGAATGTTACAAAACCTAATCTTCCACAGCTCAGAGCCCCTCATTTATATCTTCAGCTGTGATACAATCTCTGTGACTCTGCCCCTGTTACAGCTACAATGGTCCCCACAGTGTTCAGCAATCCTCTAGAGCAGTGGTTCTCAACTTTCCTAATGCTATGACACTTTAATCAGTTCCTCATGTTGTGGTGACCCCCAAGCACAAAATTATTTTTGTTGCTACTTAACTGTAATTTTCCTACTGTCATGAATTATAGTGAGATACCTGATATGTACAATATCTGGTATTTTATCCCTGTTAAAGGGTCATTCAATACCCCTGCAAAGGTGACTCAACCCACGGCCTAAGAACCACTGCTCTAGACAGTCAGTGGTGATGGAGCTCAGCCCACTGTGACATTGTAACCCATCCTGAACTCTTCTTTCAATCACATAAATATTTAGAGCAAGTCTTCTTACCTTTTCCACACTTGGGCCGCCTTTCCATTAATATATTTACTGTGGAGCCAACCTTTAGACTCCATCAGGCCATTAAGACACTGTCATTCTCATTGAGTACGCCTTTCTCTCACAGATCTGTGAAGCCGTCAAATCTTTCTCAGGCAGGACACTGCTGTACTCTGCAATGAACCATTCTTCATACCAGTCCAACTCTTTTCCCAATGTCCTTTCTCTCCCCTGAGGCTAACAAATAAGGGTTTTAAGGAGCACAAGCACAAGGGATAGAGGTAGAAGAGAGACTGGCAGGAAAGTCTACAGAGTTGTTATTTTTCCTAATGATCCCATATTCATATCCAATGGTGACAACTGTCTTCCTTGCAAATATCCAAGATCTTTGATAGTTTTCTGTGTGTTTTATGTTCTATTAGTGTATGTGCACATGTGTGGAGGTTCTGTACATAAGCAGAGGTCAGAGGAAGATGCAGGTGTCCTGCTCTATCGTCTCTGCCTTATTCTCTTGAGACAAGGTCTCTTACTGAACCTGGAGCTAGCCTGGCAGTCAGCAAGCCCCAGGAAACTTCATCTCAGCCTCCCACAGTGCTTGGGTTCAAGACAAATGTAGCCGTACTGAGATTTTCCCATGGGCGATGAGGATTCAAACTCAGGTCTACATGCTTATGTAGCAAGTGTTCTTATCCACTGAGCAATCTCTCCAGCCTCTCTTGTTTTCTTTTATAAGGTGTCTCGGATTTCATCCAGTGGGATGACTTGGCAGGTAAAGTGCCTAGGCCATGCAAGCCTAACACATACATGCCCATATACACACGAAATAATTTTTAAATGTCTTTGGTTTGGACTGACAAGATAGCTCAATGGGTAAAGGCACTTTGTCTCCAACCCCAATAATCTGAGTTCAATCCCCAGGACGCACGTGATGGAAGAGAACCAACTCCACAAGTTGTCTTCTGACATCCACACACATGCCATGGTGTGTCTATGTGCACACATAAATGTCATTTTTAAAAAGTGTCTCAAGTTGCCAGATGTTGGTGACGAATGCCTTTAATCCCAGCACTTGGGAAGCACAGACAGGTGGATCTCTGTGAGTTCAAGACCAGCCTGGACTACAGAGTGAGTTCTAGAACAGGCTCTAAAGCAATACAGAGAAACCCTGTCTCAAAACAAAAAAAGTCTCGAGTTTACCTTGAGTAGATTCCCATTTCATGCCTAAAATAAGTCATTTCTCCAAGAGGCCCTGATTTCCTTCAGTAGGAATATTTCCAAGGGAATCTTTGTTTTTGTTTTGTTTTTATTTTAATTTTTAATCATGCTACAATAAATCATAAATATTTGAATTTATATATATTCTATACTGGGCCAGCAAGATGGCTCAGTGTGTAAAGGTACATCCCACTAAGTCTGATAGCCTAAGTTTTATCTCCAGGGCCCACAAGATGGAAGGAAAAACCTGACTCCCTCAAGTTTGCCTCTGATCTGCTTACTCCCACAGAATATATATATATATTTGGTGCCACCTGCTATTGTGTTATTCTTACTTTGAGGCCATTTCAAGATGAGGAAAAAATATCTATTTTTCAAAAATAAAAATAAATCAGGCTTAGGCTAATATTTCAAACTCAAAAGTATGTTTATAGTCACTTTCTTTAGTTATTTTTTAAAGATTTATTTATTACATATACAGTGTTGTGCCTACATACCAGAAAAGGGTACCAGATCTCATTATAGATGGTTGTGAGCCACCATGTGGGTGCTGGGAATTGAACTCAGGACCTCTGGAGGAGCAGTCAGTGCTCTTAACCTCTGACCCATCTTTCCAGCCCACTTTGTTTAGTTCTTATTCCTTACATGTTTCCAATTTTGTCTTCATTTTTTTTAGTACTTGAGATAGAAATGAAGTGTAGGTAAGGGCCCTACCACTAAGCCCCATCCTCAGACTCCTTCAACTTTATTTTTATTTTACGTGCATTGGTGTTTTGCCTGTGTGAGGGTGTCAGATCCCTGGAACTGGAGTTACAGACAGCCTGAGCTGCCATGTGGGTGCTGGAAATTGAACCCTCATCCTCTGAAAGAGCAGTCGGTGCTTTTAACTTCTGAGCTATGTCTCCAGTCCCTCTTTTAACTTTTTAAAATGATTTATATTACATTTATTAATGGGAGGGGTAAGAGAGCATATGTGGAAATCAGAGTCCTCCTTCCACCATGTGTCCTGAGGATTAAACTCAGGTTGTCAGGCTTGGCAGCAAGCACCTTTACTCACTGAGCCATCTAACTGGGCCTCTTTAGATATAAGTCTGTATTATAGAAACTTCTGTTCATGAGCATCTCACCTCATTGTGAGCTTAGTTTTTTCGGATTTGCTGGTGCTGTTGTTGTTTAATTTTGGGCTTTCTCTGTGCAGTGACTATTTTGCAGTGCTTGCTAGGGTTGACACAAAGCCTTTCACTATGGCTGCCAGCAATCCCTGAATATGGAGTAAGGCCTTATCTTTCAAATTCCATCCCCAGTCCTGATCATGGGACACCTGAAATCTGTTGAATTTTTAAAACACTGCTATCCCTAGAGGTCCCTGCTTCCCCACTGGCCAGTATCTACCACACTTGCCCACCTAATTCTGTTCCTCTGATGATGCAGTAGTGTTCGCCTATTGCCCAGCCCTCTAGGCCCATGCTGGTTGAGAAGCAGCTGCTAGTCTTCAGTTAATTCCAACCCTGGGATTCTGAAGAAATGACATGGTGTGGTCATTCTATTTCATGAGACAAAACCAATGACATGTGCCCTACCTCCTGCTCTGCTTTTCTGGTTAATGAAACATCACTAAGAATCCATCAATAGGTCACTTGTCAAGCAGCTTCAAATGCAAATATTCAACTCTTTGTGTATCTTCATCCACATTGTCACAAAAGGCTCTGGGAAACTGTACAGAGTTTAGATAACATTTTAAATGCCAGTTTTATTGTGGTCTAATCCACATACAACACGTCATTCATCTGCAGTATACGATTTAATAATGGTCTGCAGCATATTCACAGATGAGCATAACTGTGACCTGTTGGGGAAGTCCTGTGATTATGTCAATAAAGCACTGTCTGGCCAATAGGGAATCTAGATAGGAGGGACTAGAAGTCCAGGAGGACTCTGGGAAGGAGAAACACAGAGAGTCAAGATGTAACACCATGGGGTAGGAAGCCCGGAGCTATTCTCCGGTAAAAGAAATACTTAAATTAACAATTATGGGATAAATACTTAAGTCAGAGCTAGCCAGTAAGAAACAAGCAAGGCCAACAGCTTCATAATTAATATAGCCTCCTGTGTGTTTATTTGGGACTGATGCAGCACTAGAACCAGGCTGGCGGGAAGGCTTCTCTCAAGGAAAAGGCTTCCCTTTACAGTGACCAATTTCAGAACATCCCCATTCCCCCCAAAGAACCGTGTGCCCACTATCACTCTCTCCTCATCCCACCCATCCCCAGGGATTCACCAGTTGACTTTTTGTTTGTGTTGTGAGAAAGAGCCTTGCTATGTAGCCTAAGTTATCCTGGAACTCATTAGCATCCTGCTTCAACTTCAAGTACATGCTCTACCACAGACAGGTCCAACTGACTTTCATTCCAGCTCTCAAAACCTATGGAAAAATCTAGACTTGGGTCTAAACTAAAATTAATGTGTACTTTTACAGATAAGGAAGTCAAGGCTCGGGGATTTCATTAATGTTCACACTGAAACTTGTCTGTATGACCTCAGAATCTGTTTCCTTAACTATATATTATGAAGATCACATGACCCATCCTTCCAAATCCTGTTTTTTCCTATCTGAAACCAAATCTTGCTTTGTGCCCACATTGACCTCAAATTCATGGTACTCTCCCTATGTCGTCTTCTCGGCCAGAATTATGTGTACCATTATGCCCAGATACCTGTTCAAATTCTGAATAAAATGAAAAATGTGAGTCAAGCACAGTGGAACATATTTGTAATCCTAGAACTGGAGAGAGAGGCTGAGGCAATAGGATAGCTGCAAGTTCAAGACCATCCTAGATTACACAGTAAGTTCTAAGCTAGGCAGGGCTACAGAATGGGACTATCAGAGAGAGGGGTAGGGGGACACAGAGAAAAACTGATAAACTGGGATTGTAGCTCAGTGGTGGTATGCATGCTTAGCATGTGCAAGACCCTGGGTTCCATCCTCAGCACCAAAAAAGCTATAGTTCTAAAATAAGATTTCTGTATTATTATTCCTAGTACATTAATATAATTACTTCTATAAGTCACCAATTATGGTGACAGATGATGTCTGTGAAAATACTGGCAGAGGAATCCTGATGTCATGTCAGACAAGCTCAGCCATCAGTAAACACAGTATCCCTGTGTGTTACTAAATTGGATTGACAAGGCTTCTGTCTCCCTCTAGTGGGAGGAAAGAAACAGCAGAATAGAGAAGGTCAGTGGTTTTGATGTGAGATAAAACAAGGCAATGTGATTTAGGATAAAGACTTCAGATGAAAGAACTTTTGTTTATACTTAGATCTGAATGACAAAAAGAGATCAGCTGTGCAGATTAGGAGACAGAGCCTTCTCATCAAAGGAGACAACCAACAGAGGCAAAGGCCTTAAGACACAGAAGGGTTAATGGGTTTGAGGAAAGACAAAAGGGCCAGTGTGGAATGGCTGGGCTTTAGGGAAGATGACATGAAGTTAGAGCAACATAAGGCTGAGGATGGAGTTTAGACCTGAAGCAACAGAAAATCAGTGGAGAACATTAAGCAAAAATGGAAACAGATTTACCAGATCACACTGGCTGCCAGTAAACAATGGATAATGTCTCAATGTGAAACTACCCCTCACAGTCAAGGCAAGATGAAGGGACCTGAGACATCTCATGCTGAGCCTGGCTAGATCAGAATTGAACACTGAACTGCTTCTCTCACAACTCTGATGTCCTTTTCCCTAGTTCTCCCAGTAGTACATACATGGCCCAGGTACCCGGGTGTGAAGCCAAAAGCCTAGTAGTCACTAGATAGATGCCTCTTCCTCTCTCCTTCATATCCATGATGTTGGCCACAGCTCCATACCTAAAACCCTCATGCTGTTCTGACCATCTCTGCAGATTGGCTCTTTCCATCACTAGATACTGAACAAAATGTTTTTATGTTACCAAATATCCACCTTTGTTTGACATTGGTGTGCTTATAAAAAGGAAACACAAGGTGACCATGTGACAAAAGTGGCAGAATCCGAGATACAGGTCCAATCAGAGAGCACTAAGAATTGCAAGGACCTGCTACACAATGGGAAAGGGGTCTGGAATGGGTTATCTCTTAGGAAGAACCCCACTCTGCCCACTCTTATCTCAGATCTCTGCCATCCAGAACAGGGGGACAGGAAATCTCTGTTGCTTAAGCCCCCAATGTGTGGTACTTTGTTGCTGCATTCACAGGAAATCCAGGCCCCATGTTAATTGACTTGGCCCCTTGCATCACTCTGTTGTATCAACAATGAGCTTTCCTCAGTCATAGACAGAGGAAACCTCAAACCTGTATGCAACAGCTACTTCCTATATAATACATGAGAATTAAAGGCATAGAAATAGAACAAAAGAAAAACTTTGTTACTGGCAATTCTATACCTATATCTACCAAGTGAGGATAGGGTACATACTTGCGATTCTTACTTCTTTATTTCACATTCTATGCATAATTTAATCCTCTGGCCTTTTTATACCATACTACAGAGAATGTTTCATGCAACAAAATGTTTAAGATGCTGGCTATGTCATCAGATATATGGTCTATTTCATCACAGCCTTTGGTGGTGACAAATGATGGTGCCATGAGAGTCACTGCAATCAAGCAGTCACTGTGAGAACCAATTTGTCATATAGAGGGCTGAGGATGTTTCCAAAGTGCTTGCTCCATCTCACCAAGCAGCCCCCACCTTGAAAAGGGAAACACTTCATGGTCTCAGCATGCCTGAGGGTATCACAAACAGTGCTGCAATTGTTCCTATTTTGACATCATCTCTACTTACAATCTGCACCTTATCCTTTGTTACTGCAGTGGGTAAAGTACTCTGCACTGTCTTACTGTCTCTCTGGATTTCTCTTGGTCATGGGTCAACAGTAAGAGGGCATAAGTAACAGTAACAGCACTTCTGGGGAAGGACATGCTTCTGGTTGTCTGGATATAGAAGCTGTCTGCCAGGGGCCACAGCTCATAAAGGCAAATAGGCTAATTCCCTTGTATAGGGGGGTAAGGACAAACAACCAGTTTTTCCAGGTCTAGTTAAGTAATTCCAGAAAAGAAAGAAGCATGTCCCATGTCAGGAAAGATGGTAAAATCCCAAATCCTTGACATCTAATGTGTGGTTAATCATGCATTATACTTTAGGGTAAGGACGTGTCAAGGGTCTCCACCTTCTGAGAAGGGTACTAGGTCCCAACCATTGCCTGGGGCTACCCTCAGATTTTGGCTTGACCAGTTCGTGGAGCCCAAGCCAGAATGTTTTCAAGCGTTCAAGCTTCTGAGTGAGCCTACTGTGCAACGTGGGTCACACCGGCTTTCTGAGCCACTTTCAGGATAAAGTACTGGTCAGAAATGTACCTATGCATCTCTATTTAACCAAGAAGCATGAAGCCCATACAACAACTGCAAGAAGTCAACAACTTTCTCCCGCTACAGCCAACCTACAAGGGCCTGACCTCCAAATTCTGAAGCCTAATGATCACCATCACCCTATAGACCAAGTCTGTCTAACAAAATTGCAAGGCTTAAAGGCACCTGCCTTTGGGCTGCACTCAGGTTCTGATGATATCCCTACTCTGGGTTGTGTAAGCCCAAACCCCCAGAACTTGAGAACATGACTTTATTTGGGAAAAGGGTCTTGGAAGGTATAGTGAGGTAAGAGTCTTGAGCTCCTTAATTACCAGATAGACCCCATATCTACAATTTGGTATAAAGGAAGAGTCCATGAGGCCCTGGAACCAGAGATTGGAGTGATGGGTCTATAAGCTAAGCCAACAACAAAGACTGTCAGAAACCACCAAGAACTGAGAGAAAGCCTGGAATTGATTCTCAGAAGAAACTTAACATCTGACTTCCAGACATAAAAGAGTGATCCTTTTGCTGCTTCAAGTCTCTGAGAATTTTTAGAACAGCTATAGGAAAGTCATAGACCACCACAAAACTGAACTAAATCAAACCAAATCAATAGTACTCCTGAAGGAAAATTAGATTAGGTATTTAAATGAGGGGCTCATGAGCAAAGAACATGTTTATCCCTTTAACATTTCCCCAAAGATCTGTCTGATAGATACCTGGGAATTAGGGAACAAAAACTTGCTCCTTATCCCCTGAAAATTAGGAAGCCCCCAACTCAGGCTTACTTTTTAAATCCTAATTCTACTCAGCCTTTTCGCTCTTAATGGGCAAGAAGCCCTGTGAATAAGTCCCAGGCAGGGATTGATTTACAGATCCCACTCAGAACCATGAAAGCTTTCAGGAGGGCAGAAAGGGTTTCAGGCCTGGGGAGTCAGCAAGGCACTTCTATTGTTTTCTCATCTCCAACTTCCTTTCCTTTACTAGAATTGCAAGGCTAATACCAATGGCTGTAAGGTCCCAGAAAATGTCTAGAACCTTGCATTCAATCTGCCAGTCACTACTAAATGGTTCCCAAGACAGGATTATCTGGGCTAGTGGAGAGCATGCCATCACAAACTCCTAGAGTGTGATGAACTATGGAAACCACCATTCACACAAGACAACAATGTGCTTCACAAAGACAAGAGCGCACTGGGGCTAGAACAAGAAAAGCATGTATGTGAAATGCCCTTCTGTCAGACCACAAAGCATTCACAACTCCAATGCCAAAATATGGGAATAAAGAATGGATATGAGTACATAAACAGCTTCTAGGACCCAAAACAGTAACACAATCAAAGTGGAACAAGGTATGCACTTTCTGTGATAGACAAGAACTAACCTAACTCATGATCAAAGAGCACCCCAAAGTCCAGGAACAAATAGCAATGATGAAACAGAAAAATGAATAAAAAATATGAAAATCCAAGTTGCATCAGTGGAATTAAAAAGGGTCCACATAACCTAGAAAAGGACACTTAAGCACACTCTTTAGTAAAGAACAGCACGTCTAGCAGATGGCAGAAACACAAAGGTGGACCCACCTCCTCCATGGCAAGGCTCCAATGTTATGTTTAAGCATATGTCTTAAAGGTACACACAGATCAGTGCACAAGTACTTTCACTACACCATTACTTCTGGTATCAAAAAGATAGAATACTTCCCAAATGTCCATCAGAGGCAACACATGTTATGGCCCTAAGTGCCACATACCCTGGGAGGACAGCCTGCAGCTCAGGGTGAAAAAGGCACCAGCTGGAGGAAGAGCAGAACCCAGCCCTGCTTGGAGAAGGGGTACTTCCTGAGAGCCCCTAGCCTCCATTCTAGACTCCCTAGGAGAATACAGGAGGGAGGAAAAAGGTATCAGAGGCAAGTGGTTCACGCACACAGAAGAAAAGGGGAAAAAAACAGCCCTAACTGGGGCTGTCTACCCTAGCGTGGAACTAGCAGACCAAAGGGCTAAAGCAAGGGTCCTACTAGTTCCTGGGGCCAGCTCTTTGACAACAAGCCCTCAATTGTGGACTATGCAGGCAAAACAGAAAAGCACAGGTTGCATAGTTCAGGACATGGTATTACAAGTAGCCTTACATCTGCTGTTCCTACTCTATGCACTCCATGACATGTATCTGTAGAGTGTCCATATCAGGCGCCTGATACTGGCATTTGGGACAACAGAAGTCAGGTGGTTCCTCAGGAGGACTTCTCCGCTGGTTGGGCAAAGCCAGATGAAAGGAGTGGTGAGCTGAGAAAAAAAGAACAGAGGCCAGCTGGATAGGCTTCATGCACAGACTTGGTAGACCTCAAAGGGAAGGAGAGGCTAACAAGGTAATGAGACCCACATATGTCACCATATTTGATTACATGTGTATGTGACTGGGAGCCACCTCTACCAGCACATGCCTCCTTATGCCTCAGGGTGATATAGGCTACTGATGGGGATGGCCAACAAGAGCTCCCCAAATCAGAGCCTCAGGGAGGCTAATGCATGCTTTCCCTCAGCGCAATATTCTGCCCTCCCTATCCATCTCCACCCACCATCAACCACCTGTTTACTCACCTGGAGTAGGGAGTAAAGGGGGCTGGGAAGTCTCTACATGTCGCTTCCTCATATCCTCAATCCTTTGAAAACAAACACCATTCAATCAATGCCTGCAGGGTTTTTTATGAATAAACACTTTCATTGAGATATAATTCATGTATCATACAATTCACCAATTTAAACTGTATCATTCAGTGGTTTTTTACTATATTAAGCATGTCCAATCATTTGCATAATTTTAGAATATTTCATCATCTTCCAAAGGAAACTTTGTACTTATTAGCAATTACTCCTGGGTTCCTCCTACATCAGTTTCTTCATAACCTTACTACAAGCCTGAGCTTATGAGACAAGCTATGTGTGCTGTGAATGGCAAAGCCAGAGAAGTATAGCTGTCCAAGCCCTTTAGAGCCTAGAGGATTATGAGTGGATCCCAGACATATTTTACACTGCATTATTTTACACTGTTGGATTTTGGTTTTGCTTTGATTTGATTGTAACTGTGCCATCGTTTTTCACTCTTAGAGTAAAAAATATGTACCTTATTATTTATAGGAGCCCAGTGAGGGACTTTAAACCTTTAAAGAGACATTTTTAAGAGTGGTTTAAAGACTGTGGGACTTTCAAATTTATGGGAGGAGAGTTTGGTTTTTTGTCTTGTTTTTTTTTTTTTGAGACAGGGTTTCTCTGTGTAACAGCCTTGGCTGTCCTGAAACTCACTTTGTAGACCAGGTTGGCCTCAAACTCAGAGATCTATCTGCCTCCTAAGTGCTGGGATTAAAGGCATGTGTCACCACTACCCAGCCTAAATTTATGGATTTTTTTTTTTAGTTTTCAAGACAAGGTTTCTCTGTATTGTTTTGGAGGCTGTCCTGGAACTAGCTCTTGTAGACCAGGCTGGTCTCAAACTCTCAGAGATCCACCTGACTCTGCCTCCCAAGTGCTGGGATTAAAGGCATGTGCCACCACCGCCCAGCTAAATTTATGTTTTATATTGTCATTTTAACATGAATTGGAGGACAAACAAGAAAGGAAAGGTTATGGTTTAATAGTGGTGTGTTTGTATGTCAAGTTGACAAGGAGTTAACTGTGCTGGTTGACTTTTGTCAACACCAACTGAAGAGAATCTCAATTGAAGAATTATCTCTAATAGACTGGCTTGTAGGTAAGTTTGTGGGGCTTTTTTGGTTAATAATTGATGTGAGATGCCCAGCCTACAGTATGTGGTGCAACCCCTGGACTAGTGGGCTAGGCTGTATAAGAAAGCAAACTGAGCAAGCCAGTAAGCATTACTCCCCTGTGGCTTCCGCTTCAGTTTTTGCCTCCAGATTTCAGCCCTGACTTCTTTCCATGATAGATTATAAACTATAATATGACCTTTCCTCCCTTAGTTGTTTAAGTCACCATGTTTATTACAGCAATAGAAACCAAACTAAGACACTAGGAAACCTAACATCCCCACAAAAACTCCAGTCTTATATACCTCTCAATACATGCATTTCTGTGACGTTTCTAGTTGGACCAGTGGGGAAAGATCACTGCTAGTATATGCCTACTCTGTGTGTGACTGTGCTCCTGGCTACACTCTTAGAGGCCCACCTGGCTGACTCATGGCAGCCAACCTTCAGCTTGCTGAACTCGCGCTGCAGCTGCTCCAGCTGCTCTTGCAAAAGCTCCTTCTTCTCCACCAGTTTTTCCCGGGCATGCCTCTCAGCTTGGAAATCAGCCTTGTAGATATCCGCCTGGCAAATAGAACAAAGGTGTGCCAACTATCCATCAGCTGCCCATCAGGCATTCTATGCCATGCCCCAGAGAAACAGAGTCCTGTCAGGTGTCACAGGACCACATGATAGTACAGTGGGAACAGATATGAAAGCCTATGATCCCAAGGGCACCAAGAGGTCAAGGACCAATGCAAAGGACTCAAGAAGACTAAAAAAGTCCACCAAAGAATGATGCCAAAAAGGTGCACCAGACCCCATTGCCTGGAAGGGTGGGCCACTCATGTGGTAGGTAGGCTGGAGCACAGCTCTCACCTGGGCCTTCAGTACTGGCACAGTCTCCATCACAATCTTGTGCTGTTCAGCTTCTTCTTTCAGTTTATCAATCAATTCCTGTTTGGCTACCAGGGCCTCCTCAGCTTGCTGGAGCTGCTGCCTCAGATCTTCCAGCTGCATGCCCTAGAGAAGGATAAAGGGTGCTCACAGAGTCTCTTGGTCCATGTTGGGACCAAACTACCTCCCTGGCTGGCCACTGTTCTGAGAACTAAGAAGGAAAATCTGGAGCAAAGCCAGTCTTTGGGCTTTGGGTCAAATGACAAAATCTCAGTGTGTGCAGGGAGAAGGCTTCATCCTGCTATGGCCCCACAGTACAGAAATGCTGAAGTCTTTCTTAGGACACACAAAGATCTTAGGACTGATAGGAACTCTTGAGGATACATAAGGCACTGCCTCCTATTCTGCATCATCTTCTTCAGAGAATTCCCAGCTAGGGAACCCTCCTCTAACTCTTCAAGGACAGGAGTCACCCTCTGTCCTGAGGCTTCCCACTCCACCATAAGTACTATGTACTCACCCTCCACAGACTGAAAGTTCACCACACACACATCAGGCAAGACTGCAACCCATGGGTCCTTCCACTCTGCCACTTGGTCAAAGGTCTGCTTAACACACACACACACACACACACACACACACACACACACACACACACACACACACACACACGCTACACGTGTGCACCCATGTTCTCAACCAAGAATTCCCTCCAGAGATTAAGCAGCCATTTTTAAAAGATTTTCTTGGTCATGGTGGATAATTTTTTTATTATGTGTTCTTAGATTCAGTTTGGCAGTATTTTATCGAGTATTTTTGCAACAATATTCATGAGTGAAATTGGTCTGTAGTTCTCTTTCTTTATTGGGTCTTTGTGTGGTTTGGGTATCAGGGTGACTATGACCTCATAGAAAGAATTTGGCACCTGGCGTTGGTGGCGCACGCCTTAATCCCAGCACTCAGGAGGCCAAGGCAGGTGAATCTCTGTGAGTTTGAGGGTTCGAGGCCAGCCTGGTCTACAGAACAAGTTCCAGGACAACCTCCAAAGCAATACATAAAAACTCTGTCTCGAAAAACCAAAAATAAAAAACAAAAATTTTAAAAAAATTAGCAATGTTCCTTCTGTTTCTATTTTGTGTAATAACCCAGACTGAGAAAGACAATATGTTATGTACTCACTCATAAATAGACATTAGCTATAAAATATAGGATAACTATGCTATAATCTACAGACCCAGAGGGACTAAGTAACAAGATTTCATAGGAGGTCACTCAGATGTCCCTGGGAAGAGGAAACAGAAGAGATTTCGTGAGTGGACTGAGGGCAGGTGGGGATGGGAATATGAGTGATCGGGTTGGGGAGGGCACAGAAACAGAGTACTGGGGATGCATTTAAGGGTCGGGCAGAAGCCTGGCACAGGGGAGTCTCCCAGAAGTCTATAGGGAAAACTCCAGTTTAGACTCCTAACAATAGCCAATAAGTAGCCTGAACTGGCCTCTCCTGTGACCAGATTGGTGCCTGGCACAATTGTCATCAGAGAGGCATCACCCAGCAACTGATGGAAACAGATGCAGAGACCAACAGCCAAACATTAGGCAGAGTATGGGAATCCTACAAAGGAGAAAGGAGTGTAGGAGCCAGAAGAGTCAAAGACACCATGGGAAGGCTCACACAATCAACTATCCTGGGCTCATAGGGGCTCACAGAAACTGAACCAACCACCAGGGAGCCTGCATGAGACTGATCTAGACACCATGCATATATGTCACAGTTGTATACCTTGGTCCTTTTGTGGAATTCCTAACAGTGGAAGAAAGGGCTATCTCTGACTCTTTTACTGGCTTCTGTAACCCTACTCCTCATACTGGGTAGCCTTGCCCAGCATTAATACAATGGGAGGTGCTTAGTCTTACTACAACTTGATATGCCATGTTTTATTTATACTCATGGGAGACCTGCACTTTCCGAGACGGAGACCGAAGGGGAGGAATTTAGGGGTTTGGAGGGGAAGCAGAGGAGGATTGGAAGAGGAGTATGGGGGGGAGACTGTGATCAGGATATAAAATAAATAGAATAGAAAAAATTTTTAATTTAAAAGATTTTCTTAATTATGTATGTGTGTATACCCACTGAAGTCAGAGATGCTATCAGATCCCCCAAAGCTGGAGTTGCAGTTCGCCACCTAATGTGGGCACTGGGAACTGACTTTGGGTCCTCTGAAAAAAACAAGTACTCTTAACCAATGAACCATCTTTCCAATCCCTTAAGCAGCCATTTTTATTATTCTTCAAATGTGACCACTAACTCTGAGTAACTATGCACAATTTTGTATTAGCTTTTAAGTTCTTTTTTTAATTGACTTCTATTACTAATTATTTAAATTTTTAACAAATAAGAAAATATAGGTTTTTATTTTAAAATTAATGAGTTAACTCATTTCATGAGGAAGTTTTTATGCATAGAGGTCTTCATGCTTTTACTGTTTGAACCCTCCCTTAACATATTTGCTAGAAATAATAGTGTTCAAATATTTTTAATCTACTTGTACAACACTATAGTGTCTTTCAAAAGTTTCTGAATTAAGGCCATATTTAAGTACTAGAGGAGCTCACCTTTTACACAGAAGGTAAAAAAATTTCAGTCATAACTGCAGATGAAAAAATGTTTTCATGGATATGTAGTAATCTAGGTAGTGGAAGCATCCAGTTCAAAGACTAAAATTCTAAATTTATGCTTAGGGGGAGGTCAGACTTTAATATCTATTTTACCCACAATAACTGCCTATTTTGTTATAATAAAGTAAATACATAAAAATACAAAATTTTGTTTAACTACACTCTGTAACTATAAAAATTCTTTTTTACATAGTTGTACATACACACACACACACACATACATATCATGGAGTTTGATCTTGCTCAACTGCCTTTCCTCATTTTATTAATAGAAAACAGACATACTCCTATTTTTTGAATCCCTCTTCAGACACTTCATCTTGTGTAGCTGCACTGTACTAGAATTGCAATGATCTTTATGGTAAACAATTTTAAGAAATTTTAGTTGAGAGTCAGAAATGCCTTCAGAAATCAGTTTCTCTAATTTGTTAATATCATTTGACTTCCCACTGCTCCTGAAGTTGTTTATTCAATTTGGGGGACTGTTTGAGGGAGTTGTTTTGTTTTGAGACAGGGTCCCTTTGTATAGCCCTGGCTGTCCTGGAACTTACCATGTAGACCAGGCCAAACTTAAACACACAGAAATCCGCCTACCTCTGCCTCCCAAGTGCTAGTATTAAAGGCATATGTCACCATGCCCAGCATCAATATGTGGGATTTTGATAACCTAGTTCAAATTGCTTAGGAGTACTAGGTTGTAAAGAATTATCAACATTAACCATTCTATTTATGAAAAAGAGAACAGCTAATAAACTTTATTGTAGAAAAAATATGACCACTAGAATGTTGGTCATGGTAGCACACACCTGTTATCTCAGCACATGGAAGATGGAAGAGAATCAGGAGTTCAAGGTCAGTCTCTGCCTCTTAAGAGTTCAAGGCCAGCCTGGGTTACACAAGATCCTGTCATTTAAAAACTAAACAATCACCAGGCATTGGTGGTGCACACCTTTAATCCCAACAAAGACGGGCAGCTTTGTGTGAGTTTGAGGCCAGCCTAGTCTACAGAATGAGTTCCAGGAAAGGCTCCAAAGCTACCGAGAAACCCTGTCTTGAAAAACAAAAACAAGACTAAATAATCTAAGGAGGCCCAAACCTCAGGCCTGGGAACAATGTCAGAGGAAGGACTGAGCCTCAGGCCTGGGAGCAAGGAACAACCACCAGGTGAGACAAAAGCAGCGGCTTACAGCAGTGGCTTCCAGAAGCTATCACAAGAAGTTCCTCTGGGAAAGAGCACCTGTGTCCCAGCCAGCATTCACTGTCATTTATCAGTTGGAGAACCCTGTTACTACAGCAACCACTGAAATCTCAGCCCTACCTATACCTAGAGGAACAATAACTGGAGCCTTGGCCCTGCCTCCAACAGGAGATGCATCCAATGGAGCTATAGCCCCCACCTGCACCTAAAGGAGTGACCACCTAAGCCTTGGGTCCACTTTCACCACAGCTTAAAATTAGAATTCAACAGCATCATTAATTACAGAAAGCCCACAAACACTTGGAAATTGAACAATGATCAACTGAATCACCACTGGGTCAAGGAAGAAATAAGGAAAGAAATTAAAGACTTCCTAAAATGTAATGAAAATGAATGTACAACATACCCAAACTTATGGGGCACAATGAAAGCAGTGCTAAGAGAAAAGTTTACAGCACTAAATGCCTACATAAGGAAGTTAGAAAAATCTCACACTAGTGAATTAGCAGAACAACTGAAATCACTAGAACAAAAAGAAGCAAACTCGGAATAGATGGCAAGAAATAGTCAAATTGAGGGCTGAAATCAATTAAAAAATGAGACAAAGAGTTGGTTCTTCAAGAAGTTCAACAAAAGATAAACCTTTGTCAAAAACTAACCAACAGAGCCAGGCAGTGGTGGCACATGCCTTGAATCCCAGCACTCAGGATGCAGAGGCAGGCAAATCTCTGTGAGCTTCAGGCCAGCCTAGTCTACAAAGCTACACAGAGAAACCTTGTCTAAAAAAACAACAAATTAACTAACCAAAAGGCAGACTAATAATATCCAAATTAACAAAATCAGAAATGAAAAGGTGGACATAACAATGGATATAATCCAGAAAAATCATTCAGTCAGACTTTGAAAACCTGTACTCCACAAAATTGGAAATTTTAAAGGAAATGAATAATTTTCTGCATACATATCAATTACCAAAATTAAACCAAGAAGAGATAAGCAATTTAAATAGACCTATAACCCCTAATGAAATAGAAGCAGTCATCAAAAGTCTCCCAACCAAAAAAAGCACAGGGCTAGATGGTTTCAGTGTAGAATGCTACCAGAAATTCAAAGAGCTAATACTAGTACTCCTCAAATTGTTCCACACAATAGAAGAAGGGTTATTGCCAAAGTCTTTTACAAGGCTACAATTACCTTGGTACCCAAAGTTGGTAGCACCATTTGTAGATGAAGGTTTCTATCCTGCTAGGTCCCACCATCCTTCAGCCCCAAATATGCACACAGAGATATATTAATTATAAAACTGTTGGCTGATGGCTTAGGCTTCTTATTGGCTAACTCTGTCTTAATTATTAACCCATTTCTATTAATCTATGTATTGCCATGAGGCTGTGGCTTATCCATAACCCAGCATGGTATTCCTTCGGTAGCAAGGCATCTCTCTCTGCCTTTCTCTCCCCAGCCTTCTCCTGGTTTGATAGCACTGCCTATGCTTCCTCCCTGGCTACTGGCCAATCATTGTTTTATTCATCAACCAATAACAGAAACATATATACAGAAGGACAACCCCCATCAGGATGGTTGAGGGGGAGAGGGATGCAGTGTAAGAGCAATGAAAGAGATATCTTAATAGAGAGAGCCAATATGGGCTTTAGGGCAGATCTAGTGTAATTACCAACAATCTACAAGAAGGACCCCAACTAAGACTCCTAGCAACAGTAGATGCCTGAACAGGCCTACCCCTGTAATTAGACTGGTGAATACCCCAACTGTTATCATAGAATCTTCATGCAGTAATTGATGGAATCAGATGCAGAGATCTACAACCAAGAACCAAGCCAAGCTCCAAAAATCCAGTCGAAGAGAAGGAGGAGGGAATATATGAGCAGGGAGGTCAAGATCATGGCGGAGAAATCTATAGAGACAGCTGAACCAAGCTCATGGAAACTCACAAACTCCAGACCTACTGTGGAGACTCCAGGGGACCAAACTAGACCCTCTGTATGTGGGAGACAGTTGTGAAGCTTGGCCTATGAGAGGGGGCCCTGGCAGTAGGACCAGTATCTATCTGTGGGGCATGAGCTAGCTTGTTGGAGGCCACTCCCTATGGTGGGATGTTCAGCCTTGATACATGGGAGAGGTGTCTCGCCCTGCCCCAACCTATTGTGACAGGCTTTGTTGACTCCTCATGGGGGCCCTTACCCATGAAGAGGAGTGGACTGGGAGGGGTGAACTGGCAGAGTAGGAAAGGGGGGCAGGAGGAGAGGTGGGAGAGAGAACTGTGGTTAGAATGTAAAAGGAAATTTAAAAGAATAAATAATTTTTAAAAAACTAAAAGAGAATAGGCTAGGGAGATAGTTGAGTTAGTAAAGTACTTGTGAGGACCTGAATTCAAGCCTGAGAACCAATGTAAGAAAAAGAGCTGAACATGTACAGCTCTGGAGAAATAACACCTATCACATCATCTGACTTCCACATACATTTATGCATATGTATACACACAAAGTGGTAACTAGAAACTGCACCCAGTTTAGGCCTGATGAGGATAAACTCAAAAAATGCTCCAAATCACCCTAGAAATGTTTCTGGGGGAGGAAAGTAGAGGCTAGGAAGATGGCTCAGCAGTTAAGAACACTTGTTGCAGCCGGGTGTTGGTGGCTCACGCCTTTAATCCCAGCACTCGGGAGGCAGAGGCAGGCAGATCTCTTTGAGTTCAAGGCCAGACTGGTCTACAGAGTGAGTTCCAGAACATGAAACCAATCCCTGAGCACCTTGACTCTGAACCCAGAGCCAGTGAAAGAAATACTTTATCCCTGAGCCCAGAACCAAAGAAAAACACCCTGACTTTGAAACTAGTGCCAAAGAAACACACTTTGTCCCTAGAATCACAGCAGTGAAAGAATTTCCCCCATCCTAAAATTAGAGTCAAAAGGCTAAAAAAAAACAAAAAGCCAGTTTTCCCTGAAATCAGAACAATCTCTGCCCTTTGCCCACTAAACCTGAGCAGGAAAACTAACCAATTCCTGAGCAGAAAGACCTCTCCCTGGGAAAACTCTGCCCCCAAGAAGCCCTACATAAGCCCGTCTTCCTGTTCAGTTGTTGGCAGTCCTTTCCCATGCTGGCAGAGGCAGCCACTCTCCTAGATTACTCCTGAGCAAGGCTGAAAAGAACAAAAGAAACTTGCTGTGATATTTATTCACTTAGGGGGCTGAGCAAGTCAGTAGCAGAAAAGCAACAACTTTTTGCCAGAGCAGGAGGAGATTGCTACATTTCTGCTGGGGCTTCCCCTTTAGCAGACTGTAACCTAAGAAAGGTGGAAGAAGAAGCCATTAACTCTGCTAGGACATTCGCTTAGGGGAACAGAGCAGAGCTCAGCTGTAATGGCTCTCTCTAGGATAGGAGCAGGATTGCTATAACCTGCGAAGAGACCATCCCCACTGCATCCCAGCTTCAGGTAGCCTGGCTTCCTGAAAAGTCAGGACACTTTTCCCTCCCCACCTGAGCTGTCCTGTTGCAACTCCAGCCTCCAGAGCTGTCCTAGGTAGACTGGCTTCCCAATAAGTCAGGGCACCTTTCCCTCCAGGGCTGAGCTGTCCTGTTGAGGCTCCTCCCTCCAGAGCTATCCTATTGCAGCTCTAGGTTACCTGGCTTCCTGAGAAGTCAGGGCACCTTTCTCTCCAGGGCTGAACTGCAATATTGTGGCTCTACCCTTCCAGAGCTGTCCTACTGTGCTCTACCCCTCCAGAGTTGTCCAATTGCTGCTCCACATAGTCTGGCTTCCCAATAAGTCAGGACATCCTTGCAGCTCCAGAGTCATAATGCTCACACTCGCTTACATTTTGGTGCCAAAATCCGGCACTCACATTCACTTATACCAAGCACACACATAGTGCACATATATATGTGCAAGCAAAATACTTCTATACATTAAATAAATATAAAAAACATTTTTAGAGAAAAATAAATGTCTCTGGGACTTCCCCCTGGTTCTGATCATGAAGGAATGGCCATGCAGAGTTATCTGAAGGTCCTAGGCACAGACACCCTAGAGATGTCCTGTGGATGCATCCCATGTCCTTGTGGCCATTTCTAAACTGTCAGAGCTGCAGCCCCAATGACAGTGTCAGGCAACTTGAGAGTCCCTTCCAAAAGTTAGATGTGCTAGACCTCAAAACTCACATTACTCCCCTTCAGGTATATGAGATGTGGGGGGGGGGGGAGAAGGGAAAAGCCTTTCCCTGGACAGTGCAGGGCAGCCACACTTACTAGCTTGTGTTCTTCACTCACCTTGCTGCTCTTGATGTGGCTGTCATAGTCTTGGAAGAGCTGGTGATAGGCTGCCTGCAACTGAGCCAGCTTCCGCCTGTGCAAAAGAGGCTGTCACTGAAGAAACTGCTTTGTCACAGTACAGCCACAGCTTGCCTGATAGAGCTTCACCCTCTTCCTTCTTGTCTCATAAAAGACCTGAAATGTGGGCTTCCTGGATTACATGTAGGCTCCTGAGGCCATCAACTCTAAGGCAGGCTTTGCTGACTGCAAGGATAAACTGCAACTGATTTGACAGCTACATAGTTCATGTTTTCCTTAAAGCCAAAATCTTGGGACGTTTCTAACAAGGGCTAGGGTACAACTCAGGAGTAGAACCTTTGGCTAACACCAAACATTCCACCTCTAGCGCCAAAAAGAAAATAAATAGGAGAAATGTTTACAATAAAATGGCATCTGACTGCATTCAATACAAAACAAAGAGGCAAGGAGATTGTTCTAAATTAAAGAAAACTCAAAAGGATGCTGAACCAGATGCCAATAGCATGTTTAGAGCCTGTGCAGGCATTGTGGGCTCAGGTGAATCTTTAGGGCCAGCTTTAAGCGACCATGGCTCCTTGCTTTCCTTACACAAAGAGCATACTTCAATTGTGGTGAAAAGAACCTGTGTAGGACATATAAATAAACTATGAATTGGATGGAAAATACTTATGTTTACATATAATAGTTCACTCGGTCATTAGCAAGGCAAAGGGAGAAAGTCAGCTCTTCTATACACCAGAACTCCCCAGAAAGCAGAAAGCACCATGAGTGCTCTGGGATCTCTTAGTACCAACCCTCCCAGCCACTCACTTCTCCTCTGAAGCAGCCTGACGCTCCATTCGCAGGGCAGCCTCCACACTCTGGTTCTGCATGCGAAGCTGGTCCACCTGCACACTGTGCTGCTGTTGCAGCACCTCCCGCTCACTCTCCAGCTGTCTAACCTGCTCACTAACTGCTCGCATCCTGAAATGCAACAAAAAAGAACACACTGAGGGGGCTGGAGCAAGACAGCCTGGGGAAGGGGTCAGGTCCTAAACAGTCGATGTCTGAGAGCTGATTCTGGTAGCAGAGTAAAGGGATCATGGTTGCCAGAAGATGGAAAATAAGAAGCATCTCCTGCAACTGGCCCTGAGGTCATAAGAGTAGAAGAGCTGTCCTTGCCCCCAATCAGCTGCAACACTTGTGAGAACAGACCCTGTACCTTACCTGGGTAACACAATAGAGCCACCATTGTTGGAGGAGGTGTGGGTGAGCCAGTCCCAAAGTTGTAAGCATAGGAGAGCTGTCCCTACTACTTACATGTCATGTGGCAATGTAGGCGGTGAGAGATGCCCCCCTTCACCCCTCGCCCCTCACCACCTGCAACAGACAAAGTGAGCTGACCCTCCCCTTTACCAGCTGCAACATTCAGGAATCAGTCCCTGCCCCTTGCCTAGGCAGCACAGCAGAACCGCTTGGTAGTTAGAGGTGATGGTGACCCAGCCCCAATGTTATGAGCAAAAGAGAGCTGCCCCTATTACTTATCTGACATGTGGTAGCCCCACATCCCACCCATCAACACCTGACTCATGTGGAGAAGCTGGCTCTGGGGTCATAAGAGTGAGAGAGCTGTCCTTACCCCTCACCAGCTGCAGCACTCGAGAGAGTGGCTTCCTGTACTTTGTCTGAGCAACACAACAGAGCTGGCCCTAATGGTGCCAGTGTGGGAGAACCAACCCTAAGGGCATGGACTGGTGCCACCCCTCGCTCATTGCTGCAAGAAGTGAATTAGCCAAGGGCAATGCTGGAGAGCTCACCCTAGTGATGAGGACAGAGGAGAACTGGCTGGAGGACCAACCCTATAGCTGCCCAGGCCCAGATCCAGGGTTATGAATTGACCTATCCTAACATCCACCCTATTTATGATCTGCTGGACCTGACCTGCAGAACCAAAGCTACAGCATCTCTACAACACAGGGCAACAGCAGGATATCCAGGAAGAGTCCTAGTGAGGGCCCCGTATCAATACTGTAGTAGAAACCAGAAACCTTGAACCAGACCAATGACTCTGCAGCGAACACTTACAATCAACAATATATGAACAAAGGGATTTACAGCATGACTCACTGTGTCATACTGCAGCTTCCATGACAAATTTTTTAATTTTTCCTTTTTTATTTTTTTTCTTTTCTTCTCTTAAATGTTGGGGGCATGAAGAGGCAAATGGCGGATGCAAAGGGACAGGGAAATGAATAGGATCAAGATACATGGTGTAAAAGACACAGAATAAATAAAGAGAAAAAGAAAAAAGAAGCATCTCCTGACATGTGCTTCTTATGCCCAACAGAAGACAATCATGTGCAATTGGCAAGGAGGTAGACTAGGAAGAAGATTAGGTACCTGAATCCAAGCTGCTGCTGGGACCAGGTGGAAGGAGTCCCTAGGAAGGTGCCAAAGCAGTCTGGGTAAAGGTATATTGAGAGACTTCTAGAAGCTGGAGGAAAGACTACCATCTGAGCTGGATAGCACTGACGTCAGGGATATGTAGGAACTATTGTGCTACTCACAACTTAGCTGGAGTCCCGGGCCCCCTAATTGGAGGCTCAGGTTTCCATACCTGAGTTATACAGCCTCATGGGACAGGATATAGCATCAAAGTCTCAGAGACTTCATCTCTCCCTCTATACTCTCATTAAAAAAGCTTATGTAATCTTACCTATACCACCTATGGTCCCCATATCTTCTGATCCTGGACCACAGTACCCCACAGCATCCCTTAAACCCCAGTTCCCAGGCACTAGCCTCATCACTGTGGTACATCCTTGTATGCCCATTACAAAGGCAATGATGGTCATTCCCATAGGTCTCTGAGGTAGCCTCTGACTGACGGTCACCCCAACTTTGCCTAGGCAGATCTAGACTACTGGGCCTGCTCACCTTCAGCCTTTGCTCACACTGCCCTTCCCCCACCTACCACCTCCAGTGGTATCTGAGCCCAAGTCAAACTTTCCTACCTCCTAGAGGACAGGAATCCCAACCTACTACTCCACAAACACAATGACTACCTACTGCACTGAATTGGCAGGCCCAAAGCTATCCTTCACCAAATATCTGGAGGACAGCAACAGGGCAATAAGATAGGCACAAAAGTGCCCGTGCCTGTGACCCAATGATCCCATGTGGCGACACAACTCCCTTGGCAAGGTCTAAGGCCACTGGTTGGAAAAATTAACCACTCACTCACTTTTCTGCAAAGAGTCAGAAACATGCCTGGCAGAGGATGCCAATGTGACCAACTCCCAATAGAAACATGGGGTTCAGAGTCTCTAATGAAAAATAGTTCATGGGGGCTCTGTGCTTTTCATAGGAGTGGCTGTGTAATGTATCCAGTCTTCTTTACCTAGGACTTCCTGCCTTGGTGGAATCCCACTGCATACCTTTCTGATAAACTCAGTCTGGATAGTTAGATCCTGAGTATGGTCTTAGGGGGCCCTGCAATACTTCCTAAACAATTAACTAAACCCGAGAGTAATGGTTTGAATGAAAATAGCCCCCATATGCTCATATGGAACAGTATTATTTGAAAAGATTAGGACATATGGCCTTGTTGGAGTAGGTGTGGCCTTGTTGGAGGAAGTGTGTCACTGGGGGTAGGCTTTGAGGTTTCAAATGTTAAAGCCAAGCCCAGTGACTTATTATCTCTTACTTTTGCCTTCCAATCCAGATACAGAACTCTCAGCTCCTTCTCCAGCACTATGTTTTTCTGTATGCTGCCATGCTTTCTGCCATGATGATAATGGACTGAACCTCTGAATCTAAGCAAACCCCAATTAAATGTTTTCTTTATAAGGGTTGCCGTGGTCATGGTGTCTCTTCACAGCAATAGGAACCCTAACTAAGACGCACAGTAAAGGATCAGATACTGGAAACAAAAGTGGAACTAGATTCCTGGATATCTGGCGAGGGCTCTCCCAAGGCAGCCCTGAAGGCCCCAGGGAATTTAAGAAAAGACTGTCAGTTTTTCCTCTCAGAGGGGAGAGGAACTCTTAGGGCCTCATTCAAAACTCTGGAAAGGACCTCCTGAAGTAGCTTCCCCTCCCCACTCACCTTCCCTCTAAAGTTTGCCGTTCTTTGGTGGCAGCCTCCAAGCGACTCTGGCTTTCCTGGAGTTCCCCCAACAATGATGTCACCTGGGCTTTCACAGAGGCCTTGTCCTCGGCCATCTGCTGCAAGAGAAAAGGTAATTTCCTATCAGTACTACTTTCTCCCATGATGCCCAGTTTTGGCACCCCCAAGACCTGAGGCAGCCTGCAAGCAGCTGATATACTAAGGGCTCCTCTTACCTCTCAGCATCTATAAACCTAGGTACATTGGTGCCTCATTAGCCCAATGGCTATCTGTCCTTCCCCACCCCCCATCACCAACCCTGACTTCCAGGTGGTAGTGAACCTTTCTCAGTCTCTTTGAAACTCTGTAAAAGGAGACCAGACCCAAAGACAGCAAGAAAAATAAACAACCTAGTCCATGTATACAATAGGTGAGAAGTTTCAAAAATGAGAGAAGATACTGAATTTTTTTTCAAATATTGTGAGCTGAACCAGCAAGAAGACTCATCGGGTAAAGGTACTTGCCACCAAGGCCAACAACCTGATTTTGATCTTCAAAACCTACATGGTGGAAGGTGGAAGGAGTGCTGGGGTATTAAGCCATACTCAGCTCAGCCAAACTTTAAGGTTAGCCAAACTTAACATGCCTTTAAACAGCTTAAGATCACAATCCTGGAATGTCCCAGACCCCTTCCTCATTCCTACTTGAAAACACTCAGAGTTGTTAAAGGAACAAACTATTCTGACCAACACTTGATATATGCTGGAAGGCTAGTAAGTACTACCAGCCATGACTCCTTCCTGTATCCCTCTCAAGGTCCACATATTTCCTATGATCCTAATGCTGTCTCAAGAAACATGAGTGCTACTCCTTTGAAATGGAATCATCAGAAAGGATAGGACTCAGAGTACTAGTCTGCTGGTATGGTAAAAACATATTTGATTTGTACAAGCTCATAAACACTGGCCTCATCACATTGACACTAATACCCTTTGTCATTCACTTGAGCTCCTTCCCCTGCCCAAATCCTTCATTTTCTTTCTATCTCTATTTCTGTCCTTACCTTATTTTTTGAAGTACTAAAAACTGAACTCAAGGCCTTTCACATGCAAAGTATATACTCTTATTATTGAACCACACTCTGGTCCCTACTGACGTTTCAAAATTCCCAGTCATTGGGTGGAAAGATGAATGGCTCAGTGGCTAAGAGTACTTGCAGCTCTTTAAAAGATCAGAGTTCAGTTTCTAGCACCACGAATTCCACTTTGAAGGGATTTGACACTTTCTTCTAGCCTCCAAGGGCAACTGCATACGTGTTTCATACACATACACAAACATTCAAACACAAAAATAAATAAATCTTAAATGAAACAATAGCCAGGCGTTGGTGGCACACGCCTTTAATTCCAGCACTCGGGAGGCAGAGGCAGGTGGATCTCTGTGAGTTAGAGACCAGCCTGGTCTACAGAGTGAGTTCCAGGACAGCCTCCAAAGCCACAGAGAAATCCTATCTCGAAAAAAAAAAATGAAACAATAGGTACCACTACAGCTCCCACTCTGGCAGGAGCCAACAAACCCCAGCATTCTGGTCTCCTTCTCCACGCACGGGACCAGGAATAGGTTCAAGAAGAGAACTAACAAAGTATTGGACTTGCTTGCACCCACCGAAAGGGAACCCTGGTCCCCTACCCACCAGGAAAAGATATAGAAAAAGGTGAAGAAACCCAACTCAAAGGGGGTAGAAAACATGTTCAACAAAATCATAGAAGAAAACTTTTCCAACCTAAAGAAAGACATGCCAATGAAGGTACAAGAAGCTTGCAGAACGCCAAATAGAGTGGACCACACAAAAAAAAAATCCCCTCGCCACATAATAATCAAGACCCCAAAAATACAGAATGAAGAAAGAACATTAAGAGCAGCTAAGGAAAAAGGTCAAGTAATATATAAAGGCAAACCTATCAGAATTACACCTGACTTCTCCATGGAAACTCTGAAAGCCAGAAGGTCCTGGATAGATATTCTACCAACACTAAGAGACCATGGATGCCAGCCCAGACTACTATACCCAGCAAAGCTTTCAATCACTATAGATGGAAAAAACAAGATATTCCATGACAAAACTAGATTCAAACAATACATATCCACTAACCCAGCCCTACAGAAAGTTCTGGAAGGAAAACTCCAACCTAAGGAAGTTAACTACAACCAAAAAACATAAGCAATAGATAATCCCACTTTACCAACAGCCAAAAGAAAAAGAGGTGGAAATATACATACAATTCCAACAACAACAACCACTCCAAAACAAACAAGAATGAGCAATCAATGGTATTAATATCCCTCGATATTAATGGTCTTAACTCACCCATAAAACAAGTACAAAAAAATTGGAATAACTCCACGTATCTTATCAGACCACCATGTTTTAAAGTTAGAATTAACAACAACACAAATTGCAGAAACCCTACAAACTCATGGAAATTGAATAATGTGCAATTGTACCATTCCTGGGTAAAAGAAGAAATTTAAAAAAATTAAAGACTTCCTAGAATTCAATGAGAATGAAGACACAACATACCCAAACTTATGGGAACTTATGGGACTCTGAAAGCAGTGCTGAGAGGAAAGTTCATAGCACTAAGTGCCCACATGAAGAAACTAGATAACAGTCACACTAGAGAATTAATAGCACAGCTGAATGTTCTAGAACAAAAAGAAGCAAACTCACCCAGGAGGAGCAGATGCCAGGAAATAATTAAATTGAGGTCTAAAATCAATAAAGTAGAAACTAAGAAAACAATACAACGAATCAATGTAATGAAAAGTTGGTTCTTTGAGAAAATCAACAAGGTAGACAAACCTTTTATCCAAACTTACCAAACGACAGAGTGTGAACATACAAATTAACAAAATCAGAAATGAAAAGGGGGACATAACAACAGACACTGAAGAAATCCAGAGAATCATCAGGTCATACTTTGAAAACCTGTACTCCACAAAATTCGAAAATTTAAAGGAAACTGACAATTTTTTGGATAAATATCAGTTGCCAAAATTAAATCAAGAACAGATAAGCCATTTAAATAGACCTATAACCCCTAAGGAAATAGAAGCAGTCATCAAAAGTCTCCCAACCAAAAAATGCCCAGGTTCAGATGGCCTCAGTGCAGAATTCTACCAGAAATTCAAAGAACAGCTTATACCAATCATCCTCAAAGTATTCCACACAATAGAAGCAAAAGAGTCTTTGCCAAACATTTTACAAGGCTTCAATGAACTTGTCACACAAAGACACAACTAAGAAAGAGAACTTCAGACCAATATCCCTCATGAACATTGATGCAAAAATACTCAATAAAATACTTGTAAATCGGATCCAAGAACACAGCAGAAAAAGCATCCTTCATGATCAAGTAGGTTTCTTCCCAGGGTTGCAGGGATGGATCAACATAGAAAATCCATCAATGTAATCCACCATATAAACAAACTGCAAAACAAAAATCACATGATCATCTCACTAGATGCTGAAAAAGCCTTTGACAAAATCCAGTACCCCTTCATGATAAAGGTCTTGGAGAGATCAGGAATAACAGGAACATACCTAAACATAATAAAAGCTATATACAGCAAACCAACAGCCAACATCAAACTAAATGGACAGAAACTCAACGTGATTCCGCTAAAATCAGGAAGAAGACAAGGCTGTCCACTCTCTCCATAACCTCTTCAATATTGTACTTGAAGTTCTACCAGAGCAATAAGAAAACAAAAGGAGATCAAGTGGATACAAATTGGAAAGGAAGAGGTCAAACTGTCACTATTTGCAGACGATATGATAGTTTACGTAAGTGACCCAAAAATATCTACCAGAGAACTCCTACAGATGACAAATACCTTCATCAAAGTGGCAGGATACAAGATCAACTCAAAAAAAATCAGTAACCCTACTATATACAGACGATAAAAAGTCTGAGAAAGAAATCAGAGAAACATCACCCTTTACAATTGCCACAACAACATAAAATACCATGGGGTAACCAAACAAATGAAAGACCTGTATCACAAGAACTTTGAGTCTTTAAAGAAAGAAATTAAAGAAGACACCAGAAAATGGAAAGATCTTCCATGCTCTTGGAAAGGCAGGAACAACATAGCAAAAACTGGCAATCTTGCCAAAAGCAATCTACAGATTTAATGCAATCTCAGCACAATTCCTCACAGACTTCGAAAGAACAATTCTCAACTTTATATGGAAAAACAAAAGACCCAGGGTAGCCAAAACAACCCTGTACAACAAAGCAATGTCCAGAGGCATCAACATCCATGACTTCAAGCTCTATTATAGAGCTATAGTCCTAAAAACAGCTTGATATTGGTACAAAAATAGACAGGTAGACCAATGGAATCGAATTAAACACCCTAATATTAACCCACACACATACAAACACCTCATTTTTTACAAAGACTCTAAAACTATACAATGGAAAAAACAAAGCACCTTCAACAAATGGTGCTGGCATAACTGGAGGCTGGCATGTAGAAGAATGTGGATCGATCCATGTCTATCATCATGCACAAAACTTAAGTCCAAATGGATCAAAGACCTCAACATAAATCCAGCCACACTGAACCTCTCAGAAGAGAAAGTGGATGGTACCCTAGAACGAATTGGTACAGGAGACAGCTTCCTGAACATAACACCAGTAGCATAAACACTGAGATCGACAATTAATAAATGGGACCTCCTGAAACTGAGAAGCTTCTGTAAGGCAAAGGACACAGTCAACAAGACAAAAAGGCAGCCCACAGAATGGGAAAAGTTATTTACTAACTCTACATCTGACAGAGGGCTGATCTCCAAAACACCAAAGGATCCAATTTAAAAGTGGGGTACATAACTAAATAGAGAATTCTCAATAGAGGAGTATAAAATGGCTGAGAGACACTTAAGAAAGTAAGTACTCAACATCTCTAGCCATCAGGGAAATGCAAATCAAAACAACTCTGAGATACCATCTTACTCCTGTCAGAATGGCTAAAATCAAAAACACCAATGACAGTTTATGCTGGAGAGGATGTGGAGAAAGGGGAACACTCCTCCACCCCTGGTGGGAATGCCAATTCGTACAGCAACTTTGAAAAAAAGTGTGAAGATTCCTCCGGAAAATGGGAATCAGTCTACCACAAGACCCAGCAATTCCACTCTTAGGCATATACCCAAAAGATGCACATTCGTACAACAAGGATGTCTGTTCCACTATGTTCATAGCAGCATTATTTGTAATAGCCAGAACCCGGAAGAAACCTAGATGCCCCTCAACTGAAGAGTGGATAGAGAAAATGTGGTACATTTACACAATGTAGTACTATTCAGTGCTAGAAAACAATGGAATCTTGAAATTTGCAGGTAAATAGACGACACTAGAAGAAACCATCCTGAGTGAGGTAACCCAGTCACAAAAAGACAAACATGGTATGTACTCACTCATATGGATTTTAGATATGGATCAGGGGAGTGCCAACCTACAATTCCACTGTCAAAGAGTCTGGGAAACAGGAAGGACCCCAAGAGAGATATGAATGGTACCCCAAATAAAGGAAATGAGGCAAAATTTCCTGAGCAGATGCGAGCATGGGAGGAGGGGAGAGGGAGCTGGGGAAAAAGTGAACGGGAGAAGTGGAGGGGAGAGGAAGACATGGGGGAACAGAATTTTGAGTCGGGGAAAGAATAGAGGAGAGCAGGATGAGAGACACCACAATAGAGGGAGTCATTATAGGTTTGAGGAGAGATCTGGCACTAGTGAGATTTCCAGAGATCTACAAGGATGACACCAACTGGCAAACTAAGCAACAGTGGAGAGACTATCTTAAATGCCCCTCCTTGATAATGAGTTTGATGACTTCCTTATATGGCATCCTAGAACCTTCATCCACTGACTGATGGAAGCAGAGGCAGATACCCACAGCTAAACACTGAACTGAACTGGAACCCAGTGACAGAGAGGGAGGAGTGATGAGCAAAGGGGTCAAGACCAGGCTGATGAAACCCAGAGAAACAGCTGACCTGAATAAGGGGGGAGATCTTGGACCCCAGACTGATGGCTGAGAGGCCAGCACGGGACTGATCCAGACCCCCTAAATTCGGGTGTCAGTGAGGAGGCCTAGGCAATCTATGGGGCCTTGGGCAGTAGATCAGTATTTATCCCTGGCATACAAATGGACTCTGGGGACCCATCCCACAATGAGGGATGCTCTCTCAGCCTGGACATGTGGGGGAGGGCCTAGGCCCTGCCCTAAAAGAAATGACAGACTCTGGAGATTCCCATGGAGGGCCTCACCCTCCCTGGGGAATGGAGTGGGGACTGGGTGGGGGACTGGGGGGGATGGGGGCCGGGGGAGGATAGGAGGGATAGAGATCTGGGATTGACATGTGAAGCAAGCTTGTTTCTAATTTAAGTAAAAAAATATTTAAAAAATGATAAAATATCCAGTCTTCTGTGCAGATCACCAGAGCTCAGTTAGCTCTTTCCCTCTCATTGCTATCAGTTACTGAACAAAATCTGATTTCATAGCTTTAACAACTGTCCACCTTTATGTTTTTGGGGTTTTTTTGTTTTTTGTTTTTTTTTGTTTTGTTTGTTTGTTTGTTTTTACGAGACAGGGTTTCTCTGTATTGTTTTGGAGGCTATTGGTCCAGCCTGGCCTGGAACTCACAGAGATCCGCCTGCCTCTGCCTCCCGAGTGCTGGGATTAAAGGCGTGCGCCACCACCGCCCAGTGCCACCTTTATGTGTTACATTAGTATCCTTATAAAAAGATGAGGGCGCCTCGGGTGGTGGCGCACGCCTTTAATCCCAGCACTCGGGAGGCAGAGGCAGGCGGATCTCTGTGAGTTCCAGGCCAGGCTGGACCAATAGCCTCCAAAACAATACAGAGAAACCCTGTCTCGTAAAAACCAAAAAAAAAAAAAAAGAGATGAGGGTTGTGAGACAGCTCAAGGGGTAGCAGGTAAAGATGCCTGCCATGCAGTCTGACAACCTGAGTTTAATGCCTGGGACGTACATGGTAGAAAGAGAAAACTGACTCCTGCAAGTTGTCCTCTGACCTATATATGCACACCATGGCATAAGCATGCCCATATGCATGAGTGCATGCACAGACAGACAGACAGACAGACAGACAGACAGACACACACACACACACACACACACACACACACACTACACAAAATAAAATGTAATAATTTTAAGAGAAGAGACAGAGGAAAAAGGCCATGTGATAAGAGGGCTGGGGAGCCCCAAGGATTGTCAAAACTGGTAATACACTTGAAGAAGTACCTGGAATAGCCCTTGTGAGAAGTATCTAGAATAGCTCTTGTGAGGAACCACCTGCCCATACCTCCATCTCCGATCTCTGACTTCCAAAACTGGGGACAATCTCTGTTGTCTAAGCCCCCAGTATGTGGTACCCTGCAGTTGTCTCCACAGATAGGAACCAAATGCTTTGACCAGGCACTCCCAGCAGCATTGTAAACTTAGCCTTAGACTGTTAAAACCTGACTATGGCAGCTCCTCCCTACCCTTTCTCCCCAGATTAACCCTCCTAGGTGGCACAATACCTGTTTATCTACTATCACTACGGTCCTGAAACCAGCCAGTCCAAAAAGGCCCTGAAATATCCTCTCATCCCACACTAAGCACGCCATCCTTTGGAGATAGTGCAATACAAGGTCAACTTAAAGCCTGGGACCGCATACTTTCTCCAAATGTGCCTGGAGATCATCTCTGAGCTCCCTGAGAAATCCTGCCCGATGAAAGTCCCTTGGTTTATCAGGGGTCTAGTGTCCTACCAGGTTGTCTGGGCTGATGGCAAGGTGTGAGGGCCTTGAGATATATGGTATAGTACCAGCTGAACTTCAGGGTGGCTAGGACCTGAGCAAGCTAGGTCAGGTGCCCAAGCACTCTGTGTCTTCACAAATGAGCCCAGTATAAACCCTGGTTCCCAAGACATAGACATGCTTCCTGGGTGACATTGCTCCATGTACACTACCCCCACTGCTCATACCAAAAGCACTGCTTCCTGTGAAGCTCACATCTGGACTCTACTGGCTCCTGCCCTACATGTCTTGTACCTTGATGATTTTAATGCGGACCTTTTCACTGCAATAAACTAACAGTGAGTGTGATGACTTCTTTTGGTTCTGAAAGTATTCTAAGCAATCAAGCTGGAAGAGGTCTTTGGGGAGACCCCAACAACATGCCTCCTATGAAAAAATCAATGTCATTATGGCCTTCAAACACAGGTGGGCAGAAGGGCTGCCCACCCACCAGCTACCTGTTGGCATTTCTTCAGGTGCTCCAAATCCTTTAAGACCTGTTCCCTCTGCCTCTGTAGGTCAAGCTTCTCCAAGCTCAGTCTCTCCACCAGCTTCCTGGCTTCCTGGAATTTGCACATGAGGAACTCCTTCTCCTTCCGTTGGCTGACCTGAAAATGCAGCAGCTCCTTACAGCGTTCCCTTAGCATCTGATTGCTCTGCCGGATGGCATCTGGGGACAGGGAAGACAGCAAAGTAGATGTGGGTCCCAACAGCAAGGCACCCCCGTGTAATACTAGGCAGCCTTTCTCAAAGAAGTCAAACCAATTTCCAGCCAATTCCACTGATGACATGGCCCCAAGTGTCTGCAATGCATTACTAAACACATCATTCTCACTTGAAGGGATACAACAAATGCAACTTTCTTTTTATGTGTTTCATTTATATTCTGGTCAGTTGGGGGTAATTCCTACCCTGGAGCACTCAGTTCTAGTCCTCCCAGGACTAGAGCGCCCTAAACATGCCTCAGACTTGAGGAAGTAGGGAGATAGTCCCCAAGGCAAATTTCATTGTGTAGTTCCTGGCTACAGCCTAGGAGCACAGAAGGTGCAGATGGGACAAGTTAGTAGTATCTCTGACTTTCATCATCTTCAGCTGTTTATTCAAGAACAGTTAATGCCCACCTTACAAATTGAGGGTGACATGAGGAAGGAGACAGGGTGCTAGTACAGAAGATACAGTCAATAGCCTGTTCTCACCAGAGCTGACCACCCTCTTCCAAGAGCAGGTCACACTATATCTTAGGAAAAAACACTCTCTCTCCCAAGGAAAACCATATTCCCTCCCACCTAAAAACTTGCTGTGTCCTGAGAAAGATCAAGCCTACTACCATTGATCCCTATACCCCACTTTCCTCCCTACCCACCAAGGCTTCTCAGTTTGTCCTCTTTCCCCCTTCCCCTTTCCTTTCCCTGGTGCTGGCCCTGAACCACATTTTTTTCCTATATGTGAATCTTCACAGAGAACCCCACCTGATACCAAGCAGGAAGATAGCTAAGTTTGAAATGCTGGCTGGTTCCTAAGAACACCATAACCTCATTCATACCCTACCAATAATGAGGTACAGGTGAAAGTAAGTTTGTCCTTGGTGTGTCAGGCCCCTCCTGACTTTTTACTCCATGCCTCCCTCACACTGAAATCATCACCTCGGAGCTCTTGGTTCTCTTCCAGGCAGCGCTGGAAGGTCTCAGGAGTACCCTGCTCTGAAGGCAGCTGTAACATTGCCGGCTTCCCCAAAGAAGATTCTTCACCCTGCATGTCCTGGTCCCCTGCTGGGCCACCACTGGGCTGCACCATTTCACTCAACTGGTTCTTCCAGAGGTGCCTGCTCATCCAACAAGACAGTGTCTAGAAGAAAAAGACAGTAGGAGTGCATGACACAGAGCAGAGTTCTATCAACCAGCAAAAGGCATTCGATCTACACAGAAGCCCTATACTTCATTCATACCAAAAGGCTGTACATTTTATCTGTTGGAACCAGATACAAAAGTGGAGTTTTGGTCTGAGACATAGCAAATATTACCATTCCAATGAGAGAGTTATTTGTGGAAGGAAATGACAGCATACTGGGAATTCTATCTCCTCACTTAATATAATAGAATGGTTGATATATGCATGTCCTAATTCCTGAAACTCAAAGACCTCCTCTCAGTGGAACTAGCCACACTCTTCCAAGAGCAGGCCACATTCCATCTTAGGAAAAAAACTCTCTCTCTCCCAAGGAAAACTATATCCCCCTCCCACTTAAAAGCTTGCTGTGTTCCAAGAAAGATCAAACCTACTCCCACTGATCCCTATAGCCCACTTTTCTCCTTACCCACCACAGCTTTATAGCTTGTCCTCTTTCACTATAAATGTTAGTTTACTTGGAAAAAGGAATTTTTTACAGATGTGATTAATTTAATCACCTCAAACCAGGCAGAGTGGTGCATGTCTTTAATCCTAACACTTAGAAGGCAGAGTCAGGCAAATCTCTGAGTTCAAGGCCAGCCTACTCTACATAGAAGAATCTGTCTCACAAGTATTAAGCCTCTCAAATTGAGATCATCCTAAGTTATATAGTTGGGCCATGACCTCAATAACAAGTACCCTTCTGAAAGACAGATGAGACAGACCTGGGAATGTAGTTCAGTGTTAGAGCATTTACCTAGCATGCACAAGGCCCTGGGTTCAATTCCCAGCTCCTCACATACACACAAAAGAAAAAACGATAGGAAAAACAGGTGGAAGTACAGGGAGACAGCCACGGGAAGACAGAAGCTGAGATTAGACTGATATAACCACAAGCTAAGGAATAACTGAGCCACTAGCGGCTGAAGGACACAGGAAGGATGCTCTTGTACAATTTGCAGATGGATGGACTGTGGCCCTGCTGACCCTCTGGCTTTATTCTCCTGGCCTCCAGAACTGTGAGATATTAAATTTCTGCTGTTTTAAGTCACCAGGCCTGTGGTTATTTTTTACAAGAATCACTGGAAATTCTAATACTTGGTAAGAGAATTTAGGAGACCACATTGTACCTGAGGGGTGTTCCTTGGGGATAGAGGAGACCTCCAGTGTCTTCTATATGCTAAGAAATTTGAAAGTGGAACTTGCGGTGTCAGTCTGAGACAAATGACCCCTGGTCTGCTTATGTTGGCTTATAAACCAGATGAAGAGCATGCTTGGCAGAGCTATCCTGGAGACTTTCTAAGTCCTGCCTAAGACTGACTGCCAGGAAGAGGACAATCTCAATGCAAGCTTACAGAAGTGAACGTTCAGTAAGGTAGGATGCCTGTAACACTGAAGAATCTTGGCTATTTACACTGAAAGTGTTGATACCCATAGATAAATCTGCCCAAGCTCACCCAGCTGACCCTTCCCTCTTTTTCACCTACTTTTTTCCTACAGCTTCCAGAAAAACCTCTTCTAGTGTCCCTCACTCCCTCAAAGGATGATTGTGCTGAGGCCTTTTCACTGAGTTCCCATTCTTTCATGTTGAGGTGCCTTGGGATCTTTTTCCTCACTACATTCACCCCTGCAGTAATTCTCTCCAGTCTCATGGCTTTAACCCAAATATTAATATTGATAATATCCCAAACAGTTTCCACTCCTAAATTCCAGACTCACATATCAAACTACTTGGATGTTTAGAAGTCTACTCAAGGGGCTGGAAAGATGGTGCAACTGTTAGGAGCACTCAGTGCTCCTCTAGAATATTTGGTTCCCAGCATCCATGTTGAGCATCTCACAACCATCTATAACTCCAGTTCCAGGGGATCCAATGTCCTCTTCTGGTCTCTGAGACACACACACACACACACACACACACACACACACACACACACACACACACACACTAAAATTAAATATTTTTAAAATAAAAAAGAGGTCTTCTCAAAATTAATTTCTCAGAGCTACAAGTATAACTCAGCAATAGAGCACTTGCCAAACATTCACCAGACCCTGGATCCCTAGCACCACCCAAAAATGTGAGTCTCCCAAATCCACTTCTACCCACAACTTCCCTTACTATCAGTTGAAAACAAATCCATCCTCTATCAGGACAAAGAAACTTGAGCATTTCTGAGTTTTTGTTTGCTTGTTTATTTGTTTGATTAGTTTTTCTGTTCCTTTCTCTCCCACCTGCCCATCATATCTAATTCATGAAGAAACTCTGTAACATTAAGTATTTTAAGTGTGATCATGGTATTGTAGTTATGTTTATTTAGAGTCCTTTCTGAAAGAGACGCATAATGAAATACTCATATGTCTGAAATGCACTGCATACTAAAAGAGATACCTAAAGATATACGCAAGAGAAATGAAAACACATGTCCATATATAAATGATTGCTGCAGCAGCATTATTCAAAGCAGTCAGAGTGGAAACAGTCCAAATGCCCATCAACTGATAAATAAGCAAAATCTAGTATAACCAAACAAGAGCACACGCTCCAAATAATTGCTGAGAAAGAAATGTCACCAAAAGCTATATACTGTATGTACTTACACTCATAAGAAATATCCAAAACATGTAAATCCACACAGAAAGTAGTTTAGTGGTTACTTAGAGAGATGAGGTGGATTGGAGTTTCTTAGTTAGGGTTTCTTTTAAGAACGATGACAATGTTCTGCAATTAGTGATGTTTGCACACTCCCATGAACCCACTAAAAACCACTGAATTATACACCTTAAATATGTGAATTGTAGCCATGTGTGGTGGTGTACTTCTGTAATCCTAGCATTTAGGAAGTAAAAGCAGGAGGATTAGGAACTCAAAAGGAAGGGATCTTCATGAGACTATCTCCAAAATTTTTGAATTATGGGCAAGTGAGACATCTCAGTGGATAAAAGCTCTTGGTACACAAGCCTGGAGACCTAAGAGCACATGTAAAGGTGGAAAGAAGAGAGCTGGCTCAACAATGTTGTCCTCTGACCTCTACACATTCTGGCCATGGCATGCCCCCCCACACACACACACACCAATAGTAAATATTTTTAGTTTTTAAATGTAAATGGTGCAGCATGCAAATTATGTCTCTAGAAAGCTGTTATTGAAAATTATAATGGGTGGAGCAAAAGAGATGATTACTCAGTGGTTAAGAGCACTTGCTATTGTTGCAGAGAGCAGTTCCTAGCACCCACATGGTGGCTCATAAACATCTGTAACTCCAATCCAAGGGTACCTCACACCTTGTTCTGAACTCCTTTCACACCAGACAAGCATGTAGTACACATACATACTCACAGCCAAAACACCCATACACATAAAATAGCATCTTTTCTAAAGAGGAAAACAATCATGGTAGAGCACTGTAAGGGCTGTGAATTAAAGTTACCTATGAGTTGATAGAGACAGTTAAGAAATGTGTACATGGAACTTACTATTTCTACTTTTGTACATTTTTAAAGTTTTCAATAAAAGGCTGACAGCACTATCATCTTTCCCATGGATTACTGCAATAATCTTTTTACAGATCACCAAACTTTGCTTCTTCCCTTGCCTTTTACAATCAATTGACCCCACTGGGACCAGTTACATAAAGATAACTCAGACTACTTCTCCCTTTTATCAAAAACAAAAGCAAAGTCTGTACAACACCCTACAAGGTCCTATACCACCTAAATTCTTCTTTCCTTCCTCTCCACCAACTATTCCTCCCTGACTCTCTGCTCCTGCTACCTTTTACCTAAGAAATCCCAAGACAATACATTCATTCTCAGATCAGATAAATGGTATCAGAACAGGCAAATAGATTACTAATCATTTGCACAATGAGCTGAGGTGCATACGGTAAGGTATTTCGCTGTCAAGGTACACTTGAAAACTTTTTAAAGACTTCAAATGCACTAAAGCTTGATAAACAGCTTGGCCTGGTGGCACACACCTATTACTCCAGCACTCGAAAAGGCTGAGGCAAGAGAATCTTGCGCTCGTGGTCTGCCTGGCCTACATCTCGAGATGCTGTTTCAGAAAACAAAGTTTGATCAACAGAAAAAATGTTTCTGAAATAGAAGAGTTGTAGCACTTGGGGCCAAGCCCTTAGGCGACAGATGGACAGATGGAAGGACAGAATCAGTCCCACAAGTAAGCTGGGTTGCGAATCTGCACTTCTTGAAATCAATGCTCTAAAAGAATGCGAAAGCATGCGACAGAACAAACTGGGCCCAATGGGGGGGGGGCTCAGGAACCTCGGGAGTTCCATAACTGCCACCGATGGAGCCCTGACTTTGGAGAGGAGGACCACACCTGTCAGCAGAGTCGATCAGAAGTCAAGAGGGCCAAAGCAGCGGAACCCGACCTCTCAGATTGAATCGGAGCTCCCAGAAAGTCTTGGTTAGGCGGTCACCCTTCCGTTCTCGGCTGTGGAAACTCCTGCTTCCGGCTTCCGGTGTTGTAAGTGTGGGATCCGGAAGTAAAACACATACTCGAAGTCGTGGAGATTAACTGGAGATGCGAAGACACAATAGTGTTGCATCCCACTCTGAAGAGAAGCCTCAGACCGCCAGCCTATATTGGCCAACCGAAGATCAAAACGCTCCTCACTGATAAACATCAACACACACACACACTTTTTTTGACACAGGATCTCTCTCTTAACTGTCCAGGCTGGTCTCTGAACTCAGAGATCTACCTGCCTCTGCCTCTTTCCCGGGTGCTTGGAATTAAGGGCGTGAGCCACCACGCCCACACTCGCCCCCACCCCACTTTCAAGGTGTCGCATTCGCACTGAAACACTCCAGTTTCAGTATGGTTCTGTCACTGAGCTCTCTGCCACCAGGTCCCTACCATGGAAAAAGTCTAGAAGACGCTAGGGACGCCAAACCGATAGCAAGGGGGAGGCGTGGCTACACTGCTAGCGGAAGTGGGGTCATCCTGTAGTGCGCAGGGACACGAGGGTCCATCGGAAAACAGACCATAAAGTATGGCTGGGGTAGCGATGGGGACACAGGAGAACTGTGCGGAGCTGTACCTGTGCTCGCAAGGCATCACGATCGCGCAGCAGGGGAAACAGGGACGGCCAACAGGGTGGGGCTGGCAAGGGATGCGTGCGCACCTACTTCTGCTCCTCTCCCCTCCCTCACCGATGGAGTAGCCGAAGCTCCTCCCCTCGTGCCTCTCCTGAGGCGGGTCAGCTCAGTCAAAGCACCCGCCCTCCTGCGTTAAATGAGCCAGCTAAGCGCAGCCCCCGGAAACCGGCTGTGCACTCCAGAACTGTGAACCTGTTTGGCAGCAGCAACTAAACACAGGTAAAGGGGTGGTGTGATAACACACCGGTGGAGGGATATGCTTCCCGCTTGTAAGCCGCGTGTCCCTTTGATGAGCGCTATTTGTAATGCTTGGATATGGAAAAAGATCTACGAGGTCTTAACCCATCCCTTTGTCCCCCACAGTTCCCGGCACTGGGCCCATGAGGGCTAGGCTTTTATAAGAGAAGGGGCTTTCTGGGATCACCTAGCTTGGCCAGGAGAAAGCTGGAGCTGAACTCCATCATCTGCACAAAGATGCTCAGTTCATTGTGGAGTTTCTGGCAGAGACTAGAGTGCGATGGCCCCAGACACAGTGCGATGCCCTGACCAGATTTTATCTCGCTTTCCCAGAGTGGATTTCCTAGCTGAATTCCATTAATGCTTATAGTGATTTCGTCATATACAGCCCCCAGAGAAGACAACATAAGAAGGTATGGCGGGAGCCCAGAGGCAGCAGTTCCTGGCTCGCACGCGCGCGTGTACACACACACGCGCACACACACACACACACCGTTCCTAGCCAGTAGTTTTAGTAATCAGTCACCAGCCTGGTGAGAATCCAAAGAAACCTTTGGATAAGGTTAAGTTGTCAATGCTCTTCTGTTCTCCTGCCTTATCAATGAGTCTTTCTTCCACCAGAAAACACCATGGCAGAGCAGGTGGCCCTGAGCCGGACCCAGGTGTGTGGGATCCTGAGGGAAGAGCTGTACCAGGGTGATGCCTTCCACCAAGCTGATACACACATATTTATCATCATGGGTGCATCGGTGAGTCTCCCCTCAGGCCTTAAGTCTAAAAAATCAAATGTAGCATTTTGCAAGGCACTTCTCTCTCTTTATCTGAACTTTCCCAACTGACTGCAAAAGGCCACACAGGCTCTAATAGTTTGAACTCTATGGCATATGTTCCCACCTGTGTGTCCTGATCATCACAGCAGTCAGTACCTGCCAAATTTTTCATTTGCAAGGCCTTTCAGAAATCTATGCTCAGCCATTGAATGCGGACCAGACTTGGAGCATCCAAGTTCTAAAGCACTATATCTACTTGGACTTCTTCCTCCTGGATGGAAAAAAAACTGAGGTACAACCAGGAAGTGCTATTCAGTCTATATGTTTTCCAAATCTATAATTTGACAAATGTTACAGTTGATTTCAGTGAAAGAATCTGAGGTCCTGCCTCTGCCTCTTTTCTCTCTACTGTATGAAGTTCCCTGGAGGCAAACACCTCCTCTTTGCCACATCTTCCAAAGCCTACTGCAGATTTCTGTTGATTCCACCTGGTTCCCAGTTGTCTAACTAAAACAACTACCAATATGCTGTTAGGAAAAACTGAAGAACAGAAGCATAGTCAGAGGGGTGGTGTGTTGATGATGGTACACAGTGAGACTGGGGTAGGTGGGGGCACCCTCTCGTGTGCTTTGCAGCAGCAGGTCATGTTCAATGACAAGGGTATTATGGAAAAGGTAAGCTCAATCACTTGCTTTTAACACTGGAATCAGCTCACTCTCTTGTAACCATCTTCACTATTAACTTACTGTGTAATCTTGAGCAAGAACTTCGTCAGAGCTGGTGTGTTCTTGAGAGGGCACCTTCCACACTCTGGGCCCCTCAGTGCTGGGTGAACTCTGTGGTTCTTTGTTCATACATAGCATTGCCACCCACTAAGGATTAGGGCTGTAGCTCAGTCAGTGGTAAAGTACTAAGCTCTTATGCATGAGGCCCTAGGTTCAATTCATAGTACTACCAAAAAAGAGGAAATCAAACATGCCACCCCCTTTGCCAGACCTGTTCTTTGTCAGCCTTATATTTCAGAGCAAAACTGAGAGTGGGAAAACTTAGAAAAGGAATGCAGAAGCAGAGAGAAGGGTTCAGCTACTGAAAAGGCAAGGAAGAGACACCCAAAGGCACTGTCCCCTAACTCCCTGTAACTCTAAGACTCAAGAGAGGTACCCAGTTGAAACACACAGTACAGGATTCCTACCCTCAGCCCTGGCTCCAGCCTAGTCCCCCCCCCTTTTTTTTTTTGGTTTTACGAGACAGGGTTTCTCTGTATTGTTTTCGAGGCTGTGGGTCCAGCCTGGCCTCGAACTCACAGCGATCCTCCTGCCTCTGCCTCCCGAGTGCCGGGATTAAAGGCGTGTGCCACCACCGCCCGGCTCCAGCCTAGTCCCCTTAAAGGAGTCATGCATGCATGTATCAACCACAAACCTTAGCATATAGGACTCTGACTATTAGGCCCTTCAATCTAAAGGACCACCTTGAAGAGAAAGTAACTAAGGATGATTTCCCCTGTCCCACCTATGCTTTCATAAGCTTGCAACAATAATAATCCAAACAACAAAGATAGTTTACATCTGGCAGATCTGAACTCTTAGATACCTCATTGATAGCTTGTTGTGTGACCTGGAAAAAATGTCTACATTTCTCTGAACATTAGTATTCTTCATCTAACAAACGAGGACCAAACAGCCTTTGGCTTTATCCTAGGCTGATTATGTGAATTCTAGCCTGAAATTGAGCAACTTCATTTCACTGCAATCGGTACGGTTCCCCTTTGCTCTCCTCTGCTCTGGGAGTGAGAACTGAGGCTTTCAGAGTAAAAATGGGAAGCACTAGTTCCAGCAGAAGGGGGTGGGGAAGAGAGAGAGGTTTGCTGAAGAGAATCATTTTTTATCTCTGTTCTTCTCATTGGACCTGAGACAGACAGACCCTGTGCTAGGACAGCCCCCAGAGTATCTCCTGCCTGACACTTTACTGAATGTATGAGGCAGACAAAGTGCTAGCTAATCTAGGAGACCTGCAAGTTCTCCATTCATTCAATGTAGCAATCAAGTGTGTCCTCCAATCCACAACAGCCCCAGTCCCTATCCTCCTTGTGGGGACAGTGTCTTTTGGGAGCAAGCAAACCAACAGGATTTTAGGGAGTTGTATGTAACAGAAGTCACAAATGGGCTCTTGTATACTAAGACCCCTGCAACACACAGGTACCAAGTGGACCTAAAAAACCAAGGCAAGTTGAAAATAAGAGGACAATTGTCCTCTAAGTTGAGAATAAGCTCAGTGTGATCTAGAAACTAAAAGGAATCCAGTGACTGGCAGGTCCCAAGCCTAGGAAACTGGAACACACTAGGGCAAGTTGAGTCCATGTAGCTGCCTCACTGTAGCCACTCCTCTTCTCAGAACTCCCACCCAAACAAGCAAGGAAACAGAAATCCTTAGTGAAGCACTCTATAAAACCTTTTCCTTATGGACTGGTAGGGGGAAGTAACTGGACCTAAAAAGCCATCTCCCCCACAGCCAATAAGACCTTGGTGAGACAGGAAAGTGACTGTTTTTCCCTTATGCAGAAGAAAAGGTGTAGATCTGGGAGTCCACATGGGCAGATGGGCTCACTACAGGGCTCATCTCTATGCATCACTTTTCCCACCTAGACTGTGTGATAGCCATAGACTCTGAGTACTCAGGGTCCATCCTGCTAACAGGCCTGTGTGAGCAGTGATCTGGCACTCGGAGTCCATGCCTCTTCTTGAGTCATTTCAAAATTGACTTCTCCCTTGGGCTGGTAAGATTCTTGCTGTGTCATGATGACCTTGGCATTCTCCCAAAAGTCTGGTGACTCATGGAGCCCCAAGGTGTAGGAAGGAGACCTTTTGTTACATTTTTAGCCCAAACCTCCCTAACAAACTCCCCCATCTCATTCCAGCTGGAAGCCAGCTGATCCTCAGTTACAGCCCAGAACTCTACCTTGGGAAGCTAGGTAGGTCCCTCATCCACAACAACCCTTGGGTGTAATTTGGGTTTATAAAACAAAAGGTCAAGCCTCACCTGACCATAGGCCAGTTGGTACTCAGGGCTCTTTGCCCTTATCTGACTAATAGTTGTGGCTGGAGATCTTAATCATGCCCTAATTCTCCTAAGTCATCACATGTCCTTAGGTAGCTTCTTCCCCTGTCATGATCCTTGGGCAATATGAGGGGGTGGCAAAGATGAGAGACTTCCTTCCAGCTACCTCTCTAATTGCCCCCACTCCCACACTTTTTAGATTTTAGTTCTTCTCATGTTCCTTACTTAAAAAGAGATCAGTGAGAGCCATTAAGCCAGCAGTAAAGGCAGGGTCACCCCCATCCCTGAGAAGAATGGCTGCCTCCCGCCCCCACCTTCCATAGTCCTACCTCACCTCCCTTGAGTGACTTGAAGCCAGGTTCCTGTCGGTTGCAGGGACTGAGCTAAAACAAGGAGAGCAGGTTCTATGTCTGGTTAATCCCAAAGGAAACAAGGACAAACAGTTATGGGTGTGGGGCAACTGTGACTCAGCAAACCTGTCCATTGCCGCCAATACATTGGCTGGAGTCTGTCCTGATTCCTCCCAATCTGTTGGAATTTGATCATAAACAAACACTGTCTACTTAGAGAAATCTGCAGGCCAGTATTCTCATTGTTTCTTTCAGTGTCTAGTTCCCAGCAAGCCAGTCATTTCTGAAGTGTGTGAGACCAGGACAAAGCCCTCTGAACATGAGCTGTAACCCACATCCCACTGATGGGAGATGCCAGAGGTAGACATTGAGGTTACTCTGAGGAACCAAGAGCCATCCTCGGGGGAGATGCTGGCCCAGAATGGGGCTTTGTCTAAGCTGACCTTTGTGGGACCTATAAGGGCAGCCATCTGGCACAACAGGGTAAAAGCTGTGCCCAGCAAAGTAACTTAGGGAACAGTAAGTAGGCCACTCAGATGGCCATACTAGGTACCACATGAGGGAGTGTCAGACAGATGAGGCTCTAGAACAATAGGAGCCCAGCTGGAAAAAGCCTTAGACATTTTCTTCAAGATAG